ACACGCTTCAATGAAGTACACTGATGAATGAAGTAATGAGGCAACTTCCTGTATCATTGCTATGAACACCGATTGCCACGAAACTCTAGATACACATCGAAAATTGTGTAGCTGGCGCAGTCACTTCGGCGTGCATTGCGGCGCATCAGGGCCCATCGGAGCGCACAGCAGCTAAAAGTGCGCGTTTCTGCCCTCCCGTGTGGTGGCGATAGGCCGAAGGCTAGGCCTATCCCAGACCCAAAGCTCCCTTATTGGGGAATTACACACATAACTGAACTTGACCCCACACTTCCGCCCTTAGCAGCAAGTGATACTTCGCGGAAGCGACCGCGACCGCTGCCGCCGCAACACCCGTGCCGCCTCCAGCCGCGCCCCCGGCGCCTGGAGAGTCGCTGCGGCCGGCACGGTCTGGCGGAGCAACTGCGCAGCCCCAATGCATGCTACCGCATCTGCGCACGAACGCGCGGATGAACAGTCGCGGTTCTGCTGCGCGCACTGCTGTCGCCCGTCTGACGAGGAATTAGAGGCGGAATCGGAGGCTTCGAGCAGGGAGAGAGAGGGACTCGACAGCCACCGCTTTGGTAGGGAAGATCGCACGATCGCGTCACGCGACGCGGATTCCGGAAGCGACGCGCTCCGCCCAGCGATGGCGCGACTCCGAGGTGACGATGTTGTAGGCGCGACACGGGCGTCGAGCGGGTCCGACGAGGGGGGAGGAGGTGGCAAGAACCTGGAGAGACCTGGCTCGCCCGCTGCCGCGCGCGCGGAGTGGCCGGAAGGAGCACCGGCGGAATGAGGTAAAGATTTTCCCGGAGATACGCGCAGCGACACAGCGGAGGAACGGCCAGGAGCCTGCGTGGACGGCGGGGGCAACGCCGTCGAATTCTGTGAGCTATCGGTGGAGGGACGAGTAAGGGAGGGGGATGACGCGGGTGTGTCGAGGCGGGAGAGAAGGACGCCGTGGACATTGGCGTGAACGGCGGGAGCAACGCCGTTGAGAGAGCCGGAGAGGAGAGTCGGCGCAACGGGTCGAATTTTAGGAAAACGGACCAACTTGAAGCGGTCCTTGCTTGGATTGCGACTGGCAGTTGGGGCCGTAGGATCCATATCTTTGAACAAGCTCGTTGATATCGATGTTGAAAGCGGTAGTATAGATACTGAATAGGAGGACTACGACTCGCATGTGCAAGAACAAGTCACGCAGTGTTACAATATTTCTTTCAGGTCCAACGCGGGTGGTCTTGAAAGTCCATCAGCGCTTTCCATGCATCCCATTTCTCCTCCCCTTGCAATCCCTCCCAACAATCCAAGCGGGCCGCTCGCAGCAGCACACACAGCTTGCAGTTGCAGCGCGCCACGTTTTTGCGACGTGCAACGAAAGAGCAATTTTCTAGGCTGACGAAAGGTTTGCGATGTTATCATAACATTCGCAATCGCCGGTCATCAGTGAACCTTGTCAGCAAGGCAAAAGAGCTGGACCTTTCCAGCTGCGCGAAAGAGATTCCCAGGATCAAGGAAGCAATGTCTGGTTGGCGGAAGATGCTCAGTCACTGCTGAATCTGGACTGGAGTCTGGGTCAGCGTGGCAGAGCAGTGTCCAACAAATCTAGGATATTATTGCAGAGGGCTGATTGGTGGTGTTTGGTGCGGTGTGTGGTGGTGGGGTGAGTGCGGCTTTGTTGTTGCATGTGAGGAGGGGATTCACTGTGGCGCCGTGAATGGTGGGCGTTGTCAGCAGCAAATGTTTGCAGACAACAACGACAAGTGGAGCGGAACAAGGGAGGAAAACATCCAGCTGCACAAGAAGACATCAAGTTTAAAGCCGGCGGCCCAAATTGCACAAGCTTTTAAAAGTTGACGCGTGGGGTTTTTCTGGTCTGGGTTTAGGCGAGTGACTCCCGATTTCGTTTTTTTCGTTAATCTCGCCAAACCCAGCACTCCCTCAAATTTCGCCCTGGGGGTTGGGTCTGTCCCTGAAAGTCCCAAATTGCAAGTGCGGTACTTTTCAAAGGTTGCCCACTGCACTTCGTCAAGTTTTAAAAGCTTGACGCGCGCGGCCCGCAATTTGGGACGCGGGCTTTAACGTCAGCGTTTCTGTTACACAGACGTGTCCATGACTTATGGCTTTCGGCCATAAGAGTTTCCTTTATTGCGGTGGAATGAGATGGTGTGCATGTCAGAGCGGTTTGTTCACAATTCTGAGTCTGGGCAGGGTTCTACACGCCCTAAGTATTGTATTGATGTAAACGAGGAATCTCTTAAAGCGACGGGCAACTTTTGGCAGTGTTGGGTTCAGAAGTTTTTTTTTTGAACCAGGCTTGCCAGCGCGAAAGTGCTGGCTGGCGAAAACCAGGATTTCGTGCGGACACTTTCCATCCGCAGTAACAGTTCGCCAGGGTTCTGGGTTTTGGGTGGCAAATGTGCACCGTCGCTTTAATAAGTGTTGGCATGTTTTACCCCATCCTGGACTATCATTTCTTGCCAAAATCGATTATATTTAGCGGCATTCCAGATGTTCGTGCTGACCTTTAAATGTGTTTACTTATATGGAGTATAGCCAAAAGAACGTCAATGGGCATATGTACATTTCAATGGCTTGCATGCTAAGGGATAAGTGCAGAGCTTCTGTTCCGTTGGCCTCCGTGGTCATGGTCCTAGGTGGAGGCATACTCCTAGTAATACGAGGTAAAAAACGTATCGTATGAAATGTGAGCCCAAAATCTCGTGCAAGGGCGACTTTCTACTCCTCGCCACTGGCAGGTAGTTCTACGACAATGTGTAACCCCTTTCTGTCCTCGAACACACCTCGCAGCTGCACCGCTCTGCACCCCTCCCCGCCGCTCACATGCATCAGACCCGCAACCTCCGCTTGTGCTATTTCCACGTCCTCCTCGCTTCGGAGAAGCTTCCTCGGGATCGTCTTGCACGCCATAGTGGGGAAATCTTGGCCAGACGATGAATGTTTCCCAAGACCGCGTCTCTCGGTGCATCGACGAACTATTCCAGACGCGCCGCGGAGGATCTCGTCACCCAAAACGAAATGCCACGAGAGCGGCTCGGATTCAAAAGGCAGCACCCACCCGCCCAGCGGGGCCATGGCTCCATCCCTCGACTGCCCACCCACGCGGCGGACTCTAAAGATCCCGGGAGACTGATAAGAAAGCTCTTGAAACGCGATCTTCTTGACAGAATTGCTAGAAAGCTCTAGAGACTCATTTCCATCTGTGGAAGGCATACAGCAGTTGTCGCACAAAGACTCAGCACGACGGCAGCGGCTGAAGGTCTGCTGGTGGCGGTCCATGTCGATCATAGTGAGATTAGAAAACTACGAAGAACGTTTAGCGAGTGCTATTAGTTGAAGGTTAGCAACACGAAGAGCAGAGGCTCAAAGAACCAGAAGAGTAGTTTGCCAAATGATTGGGAGAGGTGATTTTTGAGGATGATCGCCAAAGAAATGAACCTCCCATATATCTGGCTCTCACCTTGAGCCGAACGCAAGGGGTGGTAGGTTTGTTGGGGCTGGAGGGGAGGCTTGGCTCGGTGCTGGTCTGGCTGGCTTGAGTTCTGCGCTGTCGGCCCTCTCGGCTTGTGTCGTCTCACCCCACACGTGTCCGCGGCTCCTCTGCCGGAATGAAGCTCATTGGTCGGGTGACACGAGCCCACAGTAAACATCAGTTGAAGTTGCGAAGAAAATGTTTCCTTGTCGATTTCTGAGGAATCACTGTCGCTAGTTGACTGATCTGATAGGAAAACCGCATTGAGGACAACCGTCCGAGCTGCGACATCGAGAAGCGAGCGGTGGAAGACCGGCTTTCGTTCAAGCTCAGACATCTATCATTATTATCTGGATGGTTGCAACAAAGGCACCGCTTTGGACATTATTTGGAAACAGCGTTTTGCCCAAATGATTCCTCGAAAATTCGATGATACGTGCAAATGTTATTGTCACTCGCACGAAAATATCGACTTCTTTACTAAGCTAAAAAAGGTGCGTGACTGTCCCAATCAACTCTTAAGTGCACTGGCTCCGATATTCAAGAATCCAGCTTTCTTGGGTGCAGCCACAAATATTTCAGGAGTAACACGAATTACGGGGTACATCCTTCCTGAACAAAAACCCTGCTCCCAAGCTCGTAAGCCGGCCGGTTCAGACGTGCAATGATGGTCCGGCGTACCTTTCGTTGATAACTGACGGCTGTAACCCAGAACTTCGCCACGTCGTCAAGCAATTTGTACGTTTAGGCACAAGGACTTCCGTTATTACATACAAGGGTACATTACGGCTGTGCATTTGTATTCGTTAAGAGACCTCGATGGCTGGACTGTACTATTCCACTATGAGAATAAGCACATGCACAGAATAGTTGCACCCTGTCATTGTAGCAAGCCACCCAGTGGCAGGAGCAGACTTCACTGTAAATTATTTTGACTGCATTGTTTTATTATCAACAGAGAACCTATACAGATTTGTGGAAATAAGCAATATATGCAGCAATGCAAGCTGTATAAACATATCAACAGCAGGAACTTGGATTAGAGGCTTGGTTTGGCCTGTTGTGAAGCTGCATGCCAACAGGTTGCTGTGGAGGAGCTCCCTTGGGTAGCCTTCGTGCTGCAAAAAAATACCATTGAAATGTCAAGAGATGCAGTAAATATGCGGTTAAACCACACACAGAGAAGCGGCACTGACACTGGAAATATGTGCATGCACTGCATACCTATCTCATAGAAAAGCTCGTTGACATTCGTGGCTGTTTTGGCGGAAGTCTCCAGAAAATAGAGCCGATTCTCTTCAGCGTACAATTTTCCCTCCTGGTTCCATGCCCAGAACCAATGGTCCAAGTTAATAAAAACACATGGTTCCATGGTGACATTGACATGACATAATATACAGCAAAACAAACACGGACACAATAATTCGCCGGTTCCATGCTTATGACAAGCAGGTATCCCCTTCTTTCATCCAAAACATCCCATCCCGAACCCTTATTCCCTTGTCCCTCATCCTCTACCCTTCTCTCTACCACTCACCTCCTCAGAAACCTTCCTCTGAGCCTCCAGGTCCGTCTTGTTCGCTGCAAGGGCAATCACCAGGTTGGGGTTACCTGAGGGTGGCGTATGCAGGGCGCGCAAGGACAAGGGAGAGGCCGGGTACAGCTTTAGGAACGGATGATGGGAAATATGATCATGGACGAGAACGGAACAACATAAGGGAGACATGCTACAGATGTACGGGGAAACGGGGAAAGGGATATGCAGCATAGAGACAGGGGGAAGAGTTATGGAGTATGAGACTGGTAAGGGCTAAAAGTGGTGACATGCTCGGCACATCAACTTGGGCCATTGCACTCAGTGGTGCTCATTGCAAGCTGATTGAGTGTGAACACGTACCTTGCCGTTGAAGCTCCTGCACCCACTTCTTGGCTCGAGCGAATGAATCCTGAAGAAGCGTGTATCACGCACCCACACATGCCATGCATCCCATAAGCCATGCGCATACGCAAGTCAGGAACGGCATTGCAAAACACATGCAAGCAACACCACCAGAAAAGGGAGGGCAAAGTAGGTCACAAAAAAAGGTTCACATGAAAATAGCCCCGACTCCTGGAAACCAGAGCAGCAGCAGCAACAGCAGCAGAGCAAATAAAACCAGGCCCAGCGGCTCACGGTGCTGGTGATATCGTAGACGATAATGGCGGCCGCGGCCCCGCGGTAGTACATGGGCGCGAGGCTGTGGTAGCGCTCCTGCCCGGCCGTGTCCCAGATCTCGAACTTGACCACCGCGTCGCTCACCGCCACCGTCTGCGTCAAGAACGCCGCGCCGATGGTGGACTCCTGCAGTGAGGGGCACGGCGGGCGGAAAGATAGGACTGGAGTGAGATGGTGGGTAGGGATTGTAGGAACGAGACACGCCCTAGAACAAGGTGGGTGAGGGTGGCCTGCCTGATAAGAGGTGGGTAAGAGACGGAAGAGAATGCGACGGACAGTAACGGAGCGAAAAGACACACGGAACTTGGATGCAGCACGAGCCTCTCAGTCATGCGTGTCCGAGTGCCGTGCGCAACCCGCACCTGGTACTCGAAGAATTGACCCTTCACGAACCGCAGCACGAGCGACGACTTCCCCGCGCCCATGTCGCCCAGTAGGACCTGCGCGCGGAGAGCGAAGAGCGGGGAGCGATGAGGGGAGCGAAGTGAAGAGCGATGAGGAGAGCGAAGAAGAGAGTGAAAAGAGAGGGGGAGGGGGGGGGGGGGGGGGGGGGGAAAGGGGGGGATGTCGTCGACTGGAGATGGCGAGATGGCAGGGGGTTACCCTGTGCACTCTAGACTGTCAAAGCAGTAGGGCTGTCGCCATGAGCCGGAGTCCATGAGCTGTCGCCTATTTTAGCTTGCAATTCCGTGGGCTGTCAATGGCTTTCTAGAAAAGTTGGAGGACAGGAGCAGGGTCTGCCGAGAGCGTCCTCGACGGCTACACCATGACAAACCGACAATGATAACTGTCCCTGTAAGGAACGATGGATGCTGTAAGGAAAGCAAACTGCGGTGGCGAACTGTTGCTTCCGTTTAAAGACGCTGTCATTAAATAACGGCTCGCTGCTGTCTCCGTAGCTCACCAGTTTTGCTTGCATAGTGGGAGCAGCTGGGGCAGCCATGGATGGGAGAACACAAGGAGTGAGGTAAAATCGTGGTGTTTAAAAGAAATTAAGTCCCAAAGAGAAGAGAGATATCTGTACGTGACGCTAACGTATCTTATAACCAAAACGACCGAGGAAGGATGCGCGAAGAACGGGAAAAGTGTAGCTAACAAGCACACTGAAAACTAAAACTAATGACAAGGCAGCGGTGGTGGAGTAAAAATTCGAGAAGCTAGGGTTGGCCTCAACGTTTGACTGGACTGAGTTAGGAGTGGAGAGGAGTCAACAGCAGCATCCCCCAGTTTTCCAAGTTCCGTGTGCAGGCGGATGATCCCATATTCCAGTCCTTGAAGTCTTTGCTATCACTCACACCGTTCAGAAACTCTGGGAAACGTTCATAACCATTCTTACCACCAGTCACCGACGACTCACATGAGGCACGTAGCAGGACACATTCACCGGGCGGTGAATTTCCTTGTGTCACGTCTTCCGCGCGCACCTTTCTTGGCTTGGCACTGCTCTGCATCTTTGCGCCCGCATGCTCGCTCTCTTGGGATCTCCGCGCGTCACCGAACCGAACCTATGAAACATGTGTCAGCGCGCAGAAAACTCCCCCACGTGTAACCTCCCAGGCGAGAGGAGTTGTCAAGGCGGCCCTCGGCGAAGCCCCGCGAAGAAGGTTTCGCGGGCCTCTCCCTTGGAAAACCACTTCCCTGCTGCGGAATTCATCGCTGACGTCACGCTGTCAGGTGGAGCAAACCAGCCCAGCCTCGCGCACGGATTGGCTGTACGTTTGACGACCAATGGCACACGGCCGATGAATTCCAGCGATGCTGTACCTAAATTGAATAGATGTCCAACCTAAAGTTCTTGAACTATCTACCGAAATACAGCTATAGAAATGCAAACTTCTCCGTATAGTTCATCCGCGTTATGACGCATTATACATAGCAGTTCTGGATAACAGACCTTAGAGATGGTTCAGTGGTTGATGAGGTCCATCCGAAACTATGGCAGAATCGTGAAACTGAATGCTCCCCGCCCTTGGGATGACAAGCAGCCTATTATACCAGTTTAGTCACTTAGCAACAGCCTGTTTCTCCTCCAGAATACCGAAGTAGCCAGGCCACAGCTCCACGCGCTTTATATGAGTGTTAGAAGTTCGAAAAAAATAGTAGATTGCCATGTGGAAGGGGTTTCAGGGCCTGCAAGCGGTCGTGAAGGAAGGTTTGCAGGAGCTGGGCCGCGATGCGCTCCGCGAGACAGGCATGATCAAGGAAGCCGTTGCGCCTCGGCTAGCCGGGTCAGGCATCTTGGGATTGGTTGGTGTGCAGTCGGGAGACGAGCGAGAAGGAGAGGGACGAGAGGAAGAGGAGGAGGAGGACGGATGGGGTCTGGAGGACGACGAGGAAGAAGTGAAGGTTGACGAGCGAGTCGCGTCAGGAGAATCCGAAGGGCCAATTCCCTTGTCGTCGCATCCCTCCGCCTCCGCGCCGGAGCCCTCGCCTGACATTGAGCCACGTGGGGAATCCTCGGACCACCCAGGCTTGGCTGTCGCCCCCAACACGAGCCTTTCCTCGCCGTCGCCTCGCCTTCCCGTTACCGCGTCGTCTCATAGCGAGGATAGCGGTAGCGGTGGTGCGGTTCCCGCTGCGCTGCCAGAGTCCAGCGGGCTCATGTCGTTTCTGGAGCCCGCGCACGAAACGGACGCGCAGATGCTGCAGCCGCGCGCGCCGGAAGAGCGACCGGACACGCCCGTCGGTGAGAGGGATGACGTGGCAGGTGAAGAGAGACGGGGTGGCGATGCGGACGCTGCGGCCAGGGGAACGGAATCAGGAACACCCGCTTCCATTGAAGCTGGGAAACAGAGATCAGAATTGCCGATGGAGGGTCGAGACGCGGGTGAGGCGGCCGCAGGGGGGGAACGGGTGGCTCCTGCGGATGGGCAGGCGGTGAGCGCGGGTGGGGAGGGACTGGGTGGAGACGAGGGTTCTCCAGAGATTGGGTTAGTGCGCGGGGATGATGGCCCTGGGGAGGCGGGAGGGCACACGCAGGTGGCGGCAGTCGGAATCGCGGACGGGGTAAGCGGGGATTTCCCAGCGGTGAGTGCAGCTGTGGGTGCCAGCGAGGAGGTGGGGGGAGATGGAAGCGACAAGGAGGAGGATCGGGAGAGCAGCGGGCGGGAGGTGGCGTCGCTGCGGCGGCAATTAGCGCAGCAGCGGGAGGTGAGCGCTGTGAGGGAGACGGCGCTCGTGGAGGAGCTGACGTGGATGAAGGGCGAGCTGACGCGGCTGCAGGCGGCCGCGCGGGAGGCGGAGAAGGGGAGGGAGGAAGCGGAGAGGCGAAGAGCGGAGGAGGAGCGGAGGCGAGACGAGGAGGCGCAGAAGCTGAGCGCGGAGAGTGGCGCGCGGGAGAAAGCGCGGAGGAAGGCGGAGGGGGAGGTGGAGCGGCTGCAGGTGCTGTGCGCGCAGCTGCAGGCGTCGCTGGCGGAGGCGGCGGAGGGGCGCGAGGCGGACGCGAAGGCGCGCGAGCAGATGGCGCGGAGGGTGGAGCGGATGGAGGACGAGCTGGAGGCGGAACGCGTGAAGGCGCGCAGCCTGCAGGCGGAGATGGCGGACGTGGAGGCGGGCGCGGACGAGGAGATGGGGGAGCTGGAGGAGCGCGTGGGCGCGCTGGAGGCGCGCGTGGCTGAGCTGGAGGCGGAGAAGAAGGGCATGGCGCGCGCGGCGGAGGAGGAGAGGCGCGAGTGGCGGAGGAAGGTGGAGGCCGCGGAGGCCATGGCGAGCGCTGCTGCTGCCGTGCATAAGAAGGACCTGGAGGTGGGCAGAGAGCGAGGTGAGGAGCAAATGTGAGAGACAAGGCGAGATGGCAGTGAGAGAGGGAGACGGACGAGACAGTGGATGGTTGGGTTCAGGGATGGTCAATGCGGGAGAATGGATGGCTTGGGTGGGTGGTATGGCATGTTGAGGAGTCGGTTGGAAGGGGGATTTGGACTGAGGAAGTGTGGCTTTTGTGGCTTCCTCCTGAGTGTGTTTGTGTTGGGTGTCTGTGCATGTGCATCTGCCCCTGTTTGCCATGCCCATGTGCCCGTGCATCCATGAATCATACTCACCCGTGCCAGGCAGTGGAGAGGAAGCGGGATGCGGCGCAGCAGCAGGTGCAGAAGCTGCGAGAAGAGGTGGCAGGAGCAAACAAGGCGCTGGCGGAGGCGAGGGAGGCGGTGAGAGTGAGTGAGGCGGAGCGGGCGGAGCTGGAGGAGGTGGCTGGGGAGAGAGAGGCCAGCATGGAGGCTGCTCGCACCCAGCTCACTCACCTGCAGGCCGAGGTATGTGGGGCGTTTTGTAGGGGCGTGCGGCGTGTATGAGATGCTTCGCTGCATCATGGCATCCCCCTTGAGTGCTCTTCTCACCGTTGCTTTCCCCTCACCATGCTCTTCAAACCCGATCCTGCTTATAGCACTACCCACCTCTTTCACTCTCGCTCCTGTTCCCCCGCCACCCTTCCCCCGACCGACCCTCCCTCATACTTTCTACTTCCTCCCGCCCATTCCTTCACTCCCCCCCTCTCCGCCCTCCCCCCTCGCTCCTCAGTTGGAGGTAGCGCGGAGGGAGGCAGCGGAGGGCGGGGTGAAGGTGGCAGAGGCGATGGCGGAGGTGTATGCAGCGAGGAAGGAGGCGCGCGCACGGGGCGTGCAGGCCGAGGAGACCCAGCAGCTTGAGGCCAGGCTCTCTGCCGCCACCGCTGCTGCTGCCAGTGCCACAGCAGAGGCGGAGGAGCTCAAGGGGAAGGTGGCGGCGGGGGAGAGGGAGGTTAAGGAGGTGCGGCGTGGGCTTGCTGCTGTGGAGGCTGAGCTGGCGCTGGCCAATCAGAGAGCGGCGGAGGCAGAGCAGCAGGCCGAGGAGGCGAAGAGGCAGCGCGCGCAGGTGGGGGGGAAGGGGAGGGAGGAGGGGAGGGCAGTCGGGGGTTGGGAGGGACGGGGAGAAGGTGGAGAGGGAGGAAGGAGGGAAGTGGTGATAGCAGCTCGGACAAGTAGTCTAGTCTCGAGGGCTCTTGCTTTGCTGTCTCGTTTGTTGCTCCCTCCCTATCCCCATGCTTCTTCCTGTGGTTCTAATCCCATCCCCCCTCCACACCCCCTCTTACATTGGGGCCTGCGCATCCTGGGTGTGTGTGCCTGCCATGTCGGCATGACTCCATGCCTCCCTGCCTGCATGCATGCGTGCAGGCGGAGGGCACGAGTGAGCAGCTGAGGGAGGAGACGGAGCGCCGTGCCAAGTTATTCAACGCCGCTGTCAAGGCTGCTGTCAGCAGGATACAGTCGGTGAGTCAGCAGATGCAGTCGGTGAGTCAGTAGATACAGTTGGTGAGTCAGCAGATGCAGTCGATGAGTCAGCAGGTGCAGGCGATGATGCCTTTATTGATAAGTTAGCAGGATATTGTTGGTGCGTCCCATCAGGTCCCATCATGCCCCATCGCTTACCATCACATCCCATCACGCCCCGTTCGCCTGCCTCATCTTGCTTCCTGGCACCTTCCTCCCCTCCTCACTGCGCCCGCTGTGTGCGTGTCGGCATGCCTGGGCACAGGAGTTGGAGGAGGAGCGGGACGAGGCGTTGCAGCAGGTGCAGCAGCAGGGGGAGGCGATGGAGCAGATGAGACAAGACATGCGAGCTCTTGAGGTGAGACTCACAGGGCTGAGTGATTCATGCTTGAATCACAGCAACCATGGCTTCTTCTTCCCGTTTTTTACTCAAATCGCACGTTTACTCCTCCCGTCTGTTTCTTGAAATGGAGCATGCTTCCCTGAAGGTTGCTTTCAGAAAAGCCCTCTCCTCAACACCAGCTGAGAATCTCCATATTGTTCACCTAACCCCCCCGTTTGACCCCTTCCTGCCTCCTCTCCCCCTGCCACCACAGGTGCGGCTGGTGGAGGTGGAGGGGGAGCGAGTGGCGCTGGAGAAGAGGGGGGAGGAGGCGGAGGGGAGGGAGGTGCAGCAGCGGGTCGTCGTGGAGAGACTGAGGAGGGAGGTGGAGGAGGGGGAGGGGCGTGTGAGAGCAGCAGTGGCGGAGGCAGAAGGGGAGAGGCAGGCAAGCAAGCAGCTGCAAGGCAAGGTGAGTGCGAGTCAGGGCTTGTGGCTTAACCGTGCCGCTTCTCGTTCGAAATCAACTCTTTCTTGACTTGATCAACCGTCTATAAGTGAATCGCCTGCTTGATTCTGCCTGACAATGCATGTCTCTCATTCCTCCCAGACGCCTGCATGCCTTTGCACCTACCGCTGCTCGCCATTCATTTCAATCCCCTTACCCGCCGGCCCCAACCCCCTGCATGGCAGCTGGCAGAGGTGGAGGCGAGGAGGGCAGAGGCAGAGGCGGCGGCGGGGGCGAGAGAGAAGGAGGTGGAGGCACTGCGGCACCAGGTGGCTGACATGCAGCGCGAGAGCACCTCGCTCAAGGTGCGAGCGTGATGGGGAGGAGGGGTGAGTGGGCAAGGAGAGATAAGAAGAAGATGACTTCGCAGGAGAGAGGGCGAGAGGGGGCAGGGGCATTTGGACATGGCTGGCAGGCAGGGTGTAGTGAAGGATCAACTTAGCATAATCTTGTTCTCTTACTTTTCATTCTTCACACTGTGCCCGGGGTGCCAGGTGGCAGCGCTGGAGGCGTCCAACAGGGCAGGTGAGGAGGAGCGGCGGCTGCAGAGGAGAATCAGCGAGTTGGAACAGCAGGTGGCCTCTGCTGCTGCCCGCGCTTCCAAGGTGGAGGAAGCTTCTGAGAAGGAAGGGCCCAGGAGAGTGAGCGGTGATGGTGCGGGGAGCAGTGGGAGCAGCACGGCGGTGACATCATCGGCCAAGGCGCGGGCGGCTGCGGGTGGGGGTGGGGGTGGGGGTGGGGGTGGGGGTGGGGGTGGGGGTGGGGGAGCAGGGTGGAGCAACCCATTGGAGGGGTTGGGACTGGAGACGGTGCGGTGGAAGGATAAGCTCAAGGCAGAGAGCGAGGGCGATGTGGAGGTGAGTGAATCGTGCAAAGTGGTCACAAGTGTTTGTCCCTCCAGTGTCCCTCCGGCCTCCTCCCCCCTGTCTGATTGCATTTGCTAGTCAATTCAGGTTTCGTTCCTCTCTTTCATTAGCTCCCCCCCCCACCCTGCATCTCTCCCCACTTTCCCCGAACATGGATCACCACAGGCCGGGCCACCATCTGCTGACAGATTACGGAAGTCTCGCCTCGCACATTCAAACCAGAATCTGGCTGCCACGTCAGCAGGCACACTGGCCTCACTGGTTGGTTCGGCCCGCCGCCTCTTCTTTGAGGATGATCGTATTTCTGCTGCGCCCGGGAGGGTGTCTCGCCGCACCTTCCTTCTACTTGCTTATGTCTTCCTCCTCCACCTCATGGTATGTGTTTCTCTCAAGCCAAGCATGCATGTATCTGATTTTGTTTCCACTTCAAGTTTGAATATTGCCAATGAATGGTACACACGGTTGAGTTTGCCTTACAGTATGCACATGTTTTGTCTTTTTTCACAGGTCATGGTCTCCTTCACGCATCATTCAGCTCCGAAGTGTTCTGATGTGATGGATTTACCCGGCTGATTCTTGGAAAGGTAGCAGTAGAAGTTGAGTTGAATTTGTATTCAATTTTATATCCTTGTTTTGTAACAATTTCCGTCAAGGTCCGAGGGCTGGCCCCAACGGGCATTATTCCGTACCTGCCCTTTGGCTCGGGTTTCGAACTGGTCCCATATTTTTGGGATGATCTCATTGGTTTGCGCTTTTCCGAACCAGCGGTATCAACAAGGGTTGTTACAAGAAAGCTGAAAATAATCCTGGTTCGGCGGGTGCCCCTTTCGTCCGCAGCGCGTATCGGTGACCCTGGCTCCGCAGTCCGCACAACAAATCTCCAACTCCCCGCAAACGCCTGTGGCTTTCCCTCGACTTCCGCGCCTACATGCCTTGAATGTTGTAGCACACTCCCTTTCTTCGATCGTGCCTTCCCCCAACCACACCTCCCTTTCCGCCCTTTCTACCCGCATCCTTCCATCATTCGATGCATCTCCCCGCCTCTCCCCGCCTCACCCCGCCTCCTCTCGCCCCACCCCGCCGTTCCCCGCCTCGCCCCAATTTGCTCTGTTCGCCACCCCTTCTTCAACAGCCATCTTTTCTTTCTCCCACTCCGCAGTCAAGCTCGCAGTACCACTTGTCCTGCTCGTGTCGTCCTACATTCCTCGCCTCTCGGTTGCTAAACTTTGTACATCCGCGCATTCAGCGCCTTCTAACTTGACGCTCAGACTGTGGCGGTCCCTAGTCGACTATAGCAGCGTCGCTACTTTCGACCGTGGTCCATCAGGACCCATAGTGTACCCATACTGGATTCTAGTTGTACTTTCAGCTTTATCGTGCAAAGCTGCCTCACTTCTTCCGTTTTCACACTGACATATACGCATAATCACTAGATGGTGGACATAGGGACCTCCTAGTCCCAAACGCCTATACACAAGTGCCAAGCAAAGGGAAAACTATTTTTTAGCCAAAGAATACTGATTGCGAGCAACGCGTTGTCAACCGACAGATAGTTTCTTTTCCTCTCCTGGTGTCCCTTAGCAAGCTCGATTTTTCGATAAACGGATTTTCTCGCATTGTAGCCTCTATTTTCCTAGTTTTGAGCACGAAAGCGCGACACGCAGACCTCCACTGCAGCCATGGCGGACCCCCCGTCTCACTCCGGGCGACCGCCTCGCACGCCACGGACCCCGACGCTTCGCAGCATACCGACGTTGCGACGCGGGATGAGCAAGCGAGATTGGGAGCTGGAGCACGACGACAAGGAGCGGCGGCGGCGCGAGCGGAAGGAGCAGAAGCTGGAGCGGAAGCTGCACGACCTGGAATCGGAGGATGACGCGGAGCGCAGCGAGGATGAACCCGGTCACCACCACCGCCGCAAGGGACCCAAAGTGCCGATGCTGAAGAAGTTTAAACAGACGATGAAGAAGAAGAAGTACCAGAAGCTTCTGGAGAAGCTTCAGGAGATTCAGGACGAGCGGACGGAGGAGGAGTTGGCGAAGGTGGGCGAGCTGCGGAAGGTGCTGACGGCGCAGAACCTGCTGCCGCCCCGATTCAACGAGCACCACATGCTCCTCAGGTGAATTCAACAAGAGTCTCGTTGTTCAAGTGAATCCACGGAGCGCACTGCATGTTTCACAGGTGAATTCAAGGAACACACGGTTTGCTGCCAGCCAGGTGAAATTAACGGAAGTTACATGCTGTTCGGGGAATTCAGAGAGCATCACATGCTGCTCAGGTGAATGTAACGACCACCGCATGCTGTTCCACGTGTTCCGCTCTCCCTCCGCCCCTCGCTCCGCCCTCATCCCGCCGTCCCTCCGCCCCTCTCTCCGTCCGCCGTCCGCTGTGGGGGGCCGGGCGGCAGGTTTCTGAAGGCGCGCAAGTTCGACATGGAGAAGACGACGGAGATGTGGGCCGCCATGCTCAAGTGGCGCGAGGAGTTCGGCGTCGATGAATGCCTCAAGGTCTGTCACCTGTGAATGCCTCAAGGTCTGTCACTTATGAATGCCTCAAGCTGACCCATGAATCCCATGCCCGTGCAGTCACATGCCCCCATGCCTCCATGGCCCCGTGCTCCCATACCCCCACCCCCCCACGTCCCCTCGCCCCCATTTCTCCACGCCCCCACGGCCCCATCTCCCCACTCCCCACACCCCAGTCCCCCACGTCCCGATGCCTCCACGCCCCACGCCCCACGCCCCACACGCCCACATCCCCACACCCCGTGCCCTCACGCCCCACACCGCGCGTGGATGCAGTTCGAGTTCCCGGAGCTGGCGGAGGTGAAGCGCGTGTACCCGCACGGGCACCACGGCGTGGACCGCGAGGGCCGCCCCATCTACATCGAACTCATTGGGCGCGTCGACGCCACCAAGGTGCGCCAAGCAGGGGCGGAGAGAGGGGGGAAGGAGCGGCTGTTAGCAGGGAGCGAGAGAGGGTGGGAGGGTGGCGCGCAGAGGGCTGCAAGGTGGTGGTATGTCGTGCTGACGCTACCGATGTGGGGGGGATGGGGCAGTGGGCGGGAGCAGGGGGAATCTGTGGGTGTTGAGCAGGGATGGGGAGAGGGGAGGTGAATAAAGCTGGGATTGAAGGAGATGGGCTGGAGAGAGGGGCGGCAAGGAGGGTGGGTGGAGGGATGCTTGAAGGGATTGAAACGCGCACAGATGGTGGTGGGAGTGGTGTCTTGTGGTGGCGTCCAGACTATAGCATCTTGCCCTTGCCATGCAGTACCCAGCCTCGTGGTGCCATGCCCATTGCTTGTGTGTGACGATGGCGTGGGAGCCTGCCGGTGTGTGGTGCATGGGGCATGGGGCATGGAGCATGGGGCATGAGGCATGATGCATGGAGCATGGGCATGGGGCATGGGTTATGGTGGGGTATGGAACATGGGGTATGGTGGATGGCGCATGGGGTATGGTGGATGGCGCATGGGGTATGGTGGATGGGCCATGGTGCATGGTGCATATGGGGCATGATTGATGGTACGAGATGTTGAATTTGACATGCCTCTGTATTCTTGTTCGTGTCTGTGGTGCTGCTACTGCTGGTGTCATGGCTGCTGGGGGCTTGGCAGGTGCTGGGCATAACAACGATGGAGCGGTTTCTAAAGTACCATGTGAAGGAGTTTGAGCGCACGTTCGCCCTCAAGTTCCCCGCCTGCTCCCTCGCTGCCAAGCGCCACATCGACCAGACCACCTCCATACTCGATGTCGCTGAAATGGTGCGCGCCCCACTCATGCTGCTGCTGCTTCCCTCGCTGCTGCTGCCACCACTGCTGCTGCATGTGCAGGCACCTTGTCTTGCGCCGCGCCTTGATCTGTGGAGTGAGCAGCATTCAGTGTTAAATCCAGGCGCGTCTTGTTGTGCATCGCATTGACTCACTATTCACCCCACATGGCACATGGCACCTGGCACATGGCACATGGCACATGGCACATGGCACATGGCACATGGCACATGGCACATGGCACATGGCGCATGGCACATGGCGCATGGCACATGGCACATGGCACATGGCACATGGCGCATGGCACATGGCACATGGCACATGGCACATGGCGCATGGCACATGGCACATGGCGCATGGCACATGACAGGGCATGAAGAACTTCTCAGCAGATGCGAGGAACTTTCTGGCCATGGTGTCGAAAGTAGATGGCGATAACTACCCCGAGGTATGGTGGGCACATGCTTGGAGTGATGTGTTCATGCATGCATGTGATGGCAGTACTTCCATCATATAAACGCCACTTCCCATCCTCCCATCCCTTCCCCGTCCCATGCTTCTCGTCTTCCCATTGCTTCGTCATTCCCTATCCCACTTGCACCTCCTCTCACCGTCCCCCCTGCCACTCCCATTGCCCATGTCCCTATAACCCCCACCGCCCCGCCCCCACGCACCTGTTCAGACGCTGAATCGGCTGTTTGTGGTGAATGCGGGGTTTGCCTTCCGGTCGCTGTGGTCGGGCATCAAGGGCATGCTCGACCCCAAAACCGCCTCCAAGATCCAGGTTGGACTCCCTTCCCCCCGCTCCCCCGCCTCCCTCTGCGCGCTGCTCTGCCCTTCTGCCTCTTGCTCTCTCGCTCTCTCGCCCTTCTGACTCCACCCTTAGCACACCAGACTCCACCTTCCCTGCACCATACCACGCTATCCACCAACTGTCAGTTGCCCCACCCTCTTGAATGCACTCCCAAGTGCTTCTTTGAACACCTCCGTATCCTTCCCGCCGTGCATGGGCACTCGTCCCATCCCCCTGTGTGTGTGTGTGTGTGTGTGTGTGTGTGTGTGCGTGTGTGTGCGTGTGCGTGTGTGTGTGTGTGTGTGTGTGCGTGTGTGTGCATGGGCACGCATGCAGGTGCTGGGAACGGACTACAAGAAGAAGCTCTTTGAGGCCATCGACCCCAGGTGAGGCCCACGTGGGGCTTGCCACCCACCTACCTGCACTGACGGGCGCTTCGCTTCAAAGGGGTTGGCACTCGGTGGGGAATCCTTTGAGCGTGGGGTGAACCATGAATGGCGTAGCCCATGCAGGCTGCCACTTGGCGTGGCATGGCTTGGTCCCCCATGACGCACAAGCGTGGCGTCTCCTCGATTCCACTATGTACGCAAGCACCCGATCCTTTGCCTCCTTCACACCCGCCTCTCCTTCTCCCCCCCCTCCCTGCCCCCCGCCCGCCCGCCCATGCTTGCCAGTCAGCTGCCGGACTTCTTTGGCGGCACGTGCACGTGTGAGGGCGTGGAGGGCGGGTGTCTCATGTCGGACAAGGGGCCGTGGCGCGACATGGATATCCTGAGGGTGGTGCGGCTGCAGCGCACGGGCACCCTCAGCGGCGGCAACCCCGAGGACTTGCTGCGAGGGGGGCGCATCCGCTGGCAGTCGGGCCAGTTCAAGGTGCGCGCTTGGGGGCCTCCGGCGCTGCTGCGCCCGTGCAACGCTGTGCACTCCATGCCTCTGTGATTGCTCCGTGTGGGCGAGGCGTCGCTTCAGTGGGTTTTCATGTCTTGCTTCTTTTCCTTCTTTTCGGGCTTTTGTTGAATCCAGGGGATGGCTTGTGCTGTGGCCCATCTCCCCTGGCCCCTCACCCACTGTGCTGTGTTCCCTCCCCTGGCCTCCACCTGGACGCGGAGGACATAGGCGACGCTGGCAGCAACGTGCCGTTTAAAGATATTCAAAATTCCTTTCCTTTCCAACCATATGCCCTCCGCCCCTGCCCCCTTGACAGATGGACGCGGAGGACATAGGCGACACGGGCAGCGAGGTGTCGGACCTGGACGACCTGGGCACGCCCTCCTTCAGCGGACTCACCACTCCCAACTTCACCCTGGGCCAGCATGACCTGCACAACCTCGACCTCGTGCGTGCACCTCCCCCCTCCCTCCCTTCCCTCCCTCCCTCCCTCCCTCCCTCCCTCCCTCCCTCCCTCCCTCCCTCCCTCCCTCCCTCCCTCCCTCCCTCCCTCCCTCCCTCCCTCCCTCCCTCCCTCCCTCCCTCCCTCCCCTACCTCCCTCACATCTGCACTTCCATCATCCATTCCCAGCCTCCAGCATGCATCACCTATCATCGGTCATCCGCATGTGCAAAACGCGTGTGCAAGTCGCACACGCGTACATGTTGCAACCCTGACCATCATCCGCCTGCCTTCCACATTCCTCCAGGCTGTCTGCCTCTCCCTCCTACCTCTCACCATCCCGTTTTCCCCCCACCACCGCACACCTCTACCGCCCTTCCGCGTCAACAACCCCACTCTCTCTCCCCGCTCCCCCCCCGTGCCCGTCCACGCGCCCAGCATCTCAGCTCGCTCAACTCGAGCCGCTTCTTCAACGACCCCACCACGCCCTCCTCCGCCGCCGCCGCCTCGCTCACCCACGCCGCCTCCGCGCGCCGCTCCGCCAGCATGCAGCGCCGCGCGCCCACCTCCACCTCCACGCAGCGCGCTGCAGGGCCGTCCCTCTCCGGCTCCGCCACGTCCAGTGACGACGAGCACGAGGTGTCGCGCACGGGGTCCGTGGCATCGGATGACCGCAGCGGCGAGCTCAGCTCCACTGCCATGAGTGCCGGCGCGGGTAGACGGCTGAGTGTGGGCGTGGGGGAGGTGACATCTGGGGCGGGGGGCACGCCGGGGTCAGCAGTGTCGGCGTTGAGAGCGGGCGGCAGGGGGAAGCAGATCTCGACTCCGCCATCCAGAAACTACGGTGGGTGGCTGGTGGCTCTCGTTCTGCCGCCTTACTTGACTCACAAAGTCCGTGCTGGGGGCTGTCTGCCTTGGCCGACACGGTTGAACAATGCCCACACCATCCCTCACTCCTCTCACCATCCCTCAACCCCAACACCCCGCATACCCCCCGCTCCAATCCCATCTCTCAGGCACATCAGCATCAGCATCAGGCAGGGCAGCGCTAGCAGGCGTGCCCATGATGGCGCCCTCCTCCTCCCCTGCGCCCGACTCACTGGCAGCAGCCACGGGGCTCGTGTCGCTGCTCATGTCCTTCTTCTCAGCTGTCGCCAACCTGCCGCTCCTCTTCTCCCGCATCGTCATCACCGTCACGCCGCCTGCTAACCGCCTGGAGGGCGGCGGCGGGGCGGCAGGGGAGGCGATGGCGCCGCCCGGGGCGCAGGCGATGCTGACGCCGGAGCAGCTGCTGCGGCGCGTGCAGGAGCTCGAGAGCCAGGTGCAGCGTCTGCTCGTGCAGAGGGGCGGGGCCGCAGGGGCTGAGCCTGAGAGAGCCGTGGGGCAGCCAGGCGAGAGCCAGGTAGCAAGGCTGCTACACGCGCTTGGGGCTAGCTTGGGTGGCGGGGAGATGGATGGGTCGTCCACTCAAACTGCACTGAATGCACAGAGCATGTTCTCTTGTGCACATGGCATCTCTGGCTTGGCCTTTAAGATGCTGGCTCATCTGGTTCCTCCTTCCTTTCCCGTCGCTGTTGCCCAGATGAGGGTTGCAGGCTCAAATGATGACCCGACGTTCCCCTCTTTCCCTCCTCCCCCCCTCGTCCCCGGCAGGTGGAGAAGCTGGCATCCAGTCCGTCCACGCCTGCACTGGCCCCGCGCCCAGAGCCCCCGCCGTCGGACTGGCCGCAGCCGGCAGTGGAGCGCGTCACGGCCCTGGAGTCAGAACTCGCCACCACCAAGAAGGTGCGCAGAGGGGTGGGAGAGGGGGGAGGGGCAGTGGTGGGTGCGGGTGGATGGTGTGGTGGTAAGGGGGTTGGCGAGAGAGTGGGTTATTGGTTGGTTCAATGTGGTTCAAAGTTCAGCTGGCTGTGTGCACACGCCTGCCATGCTGAAGGGGTGCTGTCATCACCTTGCCGCTTTCCCCTCTGCCTGCCCCCCTCTGCCTGCCCCCCTCTGCCTGCCCCCCTCTGCCTGCTCCCTTCCTCCCTCTCTGGTGCAGATGCTGAAGGAGCTACTGGACAGCCAGGAGCAGCTGAGAGTGCTCATAGAACAGCTGCAACTACGCAAGGTGCCTGCCCTGCCCACCCCTATGTCCCTGTTTTTTTCGTGTGTCCATGCATCCATGAATCCATCCGCTCCATGCATATATGCAAGTACGCACCATGCCTCCATGCTGCCGTGTGCATGTTACACTAGCGCGCGCCTTCCTCTAACTCCGCTAATTTCTTCCTCGTGTGCTTCGTGGGTCTGCCATTACTCTCCCTTCTGCGCATGGTTCACCAGCAACGGAGATTCGGCGGATGCTTTGGTTGAATGGCGAAGCAACGTGCACAGCAGATGCCTGTTTCTTTCCAAAAGTTAAAAGGTTTTGGGGGTCTCATTTTTAGTCAATGCCGTTGTACAAGACATAAGGGTGAGGTGCCAAATGTGTCAAATAAAGTATCTTGTATATGTTTTTATAATGACGCATCTTCTTTCTCACATTGTACAGTTGCACTTGTGTAAATGTTTCTCTGCTACAGTAGCAGTGTGCTGGCGCAGGTGAGCTTTCAAGCAGGTCCTATGTTCGGGCAGGTGGGTCTTATGTTGCGCCTCCTCCTCCCGCTCCGCGCATGCGCGCTCTTCGCACCGCTGTCCGTTCGCCATCGCTTCCCCCCACACCTCGGTTCTTCTCCCGAGTCCCCCGCAATTCGACCTCCACCAATTCGCCCCTCCCGTTCCGTCGCTTGCCCAATTGATTGTTTGCACCCATCAATTCGCACCTTTCACACCCAACCCTTTCATAACTGCCATCGCATCGCATCCTCTCTCCCTTCCTCACATTGGTTGTTCACGCAGTGCATAGATATTGCGCTCCGCCTCACAATCAGCGTATAGTGTAACTTCAGCGACGTGCGTTTCGTCCATCTTCCCCGGGGCCCGCGGCGCCCCTTCTGAAAATTCTTGGAATCCCGATCGCCATGGTTCCGTCGCTCGGCGCGCTTCAATCAGTCGCATTGGCGGCGATCGTTCTTGTCGCCAGCCATGCCGCCGTCGCACACGCCCAGTTGAGTCGCGAGAAAGCCGCTCGCGCTCTCATTTATTCAGATAGCGACATTCGGTGTTAACAGCTTCTTTTCTTTTCAGATTTACGGTTGAGTCGAATACAATCACCATCGCCATGCCACCAATCCTTCTCTCCCCTTGCACCGCGTGGCCCTCTCCGCACTCATCAACGTGTCCCTCTCTCCCGCCGCTTCCGCGCGCGCGCATTTCCTCCCCCCCCGGCAGGTGGGGATGGGCGCAGGGCGCGGGGGAGACGCAGCTGCGCGCGGAGTACGAGAGTCAGCTGTTCGACGGCGTGGTGACGGTGCTCGTCACCACCGACGAGGTCAAGCTGCTGGTGAGCCGCCAGTCAAGCCGCTGGTGCGTAGGACGTACCCGTGTGCGCACAGCTTGTGCGCGCACATGCGCGGACATTTGTGCGGATAAGGAATGGGCACGGAACAAGTGCCCGGTTGTGTGCTGTCCCCTCGAACATCCCGATTGCGCCTCAATTGCGCGCCTCGCCTCAAATGCCATTGTCAGTCGTCTCTAACCGCGGCATGTGATGTGGTTGGCTGGGCATGGGGCATGACGCATGGGGCATGACGCATGGGGCATGACGCATGGTGCATGGGGCATGGTGCATGACGCATGGTGCATGGCGCATGGTGCATGGGGCATGGCGCATGGCGCATGGTGCATGGGGCATGGGGCATGGGGCATGGCGCATGGGGAAATGGGGCGTGGAGCGGGCAGGTGCCAACACCGGACGAGCTGAGGAAGCCCAACCCCACCTTCGACTACGCGCCCTACCACGAGCGCTTCCCCCTGCCGCAGGGTGAGTACTGATAATCGCAGCTCCCATGCTCTCCCCCCATGCTCTCTCCCCCCATGCTCTTCCGCCCCCACGCTCTTGCCCCCCATGCTTTTCCCCCCATGCTCTCCACCCCCATGCTCTCTTCCCCCCCATGCTCTCCCCCCATGCTCTCTCCCCCCATGCTCTTCCGCCCCCACGCTCTCCCCCCCCATGCTTTTCCCCCCATGCTCTCCACCCCCATGCTCTCCCCCCCCATGCTCTCCACCCCCATGCTGTCACCCTCCATTCCTATCCCCTAAAGTTCACACGGCAACCTCTTTCCCCATCTGTCCCGCCGGCCCCTTGGTCCCCCACCAGGCTCAGCACGCTTCACAGCCATCAACCACGTGGACGTCTTCTACGACCCACTAGGCTGCCTGCCGCTGGGCGACCTCGCCGCCACGCCCCTCGCCGCCTCCACCGCTCTGCAACGCATCCCACCGGGCCTGCAGCACATCTGCCACTCGTGCTTCTTCTATTTCACCTTCTCCTTCCTCACTCCGCGCGATGCCGATGCCGTGGGAGCGGGGTGCCAGCGCCTGTCCGACAAGTACAGTGTGTGCGCGCCTGACAGCATCCCTGCCGCGTTTGGGGCGGTGCCGGCGGGTATTCCCGAGGTGCAGAGGGCGTCGGGGTTTCTCTTTCCCGACTCGGAGCTCGCCGAGGAGGACACCACCTCCAAGCTGCGCGAGCCCTCCCGCTCCCTCGCCCACATGTGAGCCGCCCTGCCCACATGTGAGCCGCTATACCTAGCTTAAGCCACCCTACCCTGTCGTCCTCCCTCTCGGCCCCTCTTCGTTCCCCTTCAGCCCTTGGCGCCGCTCCCATCACTCCTCGTTCGTCCCCTTGCCTCAGTTCCCCTCATCCACTCCTCTTACTCCTCCCGCTCAACCGGTACCACTCAACACAACTCCGTCCTCTCCACTCTTGTCCCCTTACATCAGAGCGCTACCGGGGGTGGGGGCGTTGGTGACGTTCAACACGACGCCGCAGTGGGACGAGGCGCTGCAGGTGTGGCAGCCCAAGTACTACCTCGCCACCAACGCCTCCAAGGTGCGCGCGCGTGCTGCTGGGTGTGGCAGAGGCGAGAGAGCGCGGGAGGGGCATGCGGGTGTGGGATGGGCAAGATGGCGTAAGGGGGCATGGGAGGGGATGGGAGGGGATGGGAGGGGATGGGAGGGGATGGGAGGGGATGGGAGGGCGTGAAGTCGTCCAGCATGCAAGCCTCTCACTCTCACCCATTCACACACTGCCATCAACCTGCCTCTCACCTGTTCTCCTCCCTTCACACTTCCCCTCCTGCCCCCTGACCCCTGCCCCGCACCCCCCTCCCCCCATGCTGCGGCTGTGCCCCGCTATCCCAGGTGGTGGGGGTGGGGCAGGCGGTGACGACAACACTAATCAACGAGGCTTACGTGGCGTATGACACCAGGCGCACCACCTACGACGCCTACACGCACGCCCTCGTCTCCCCCGCGTCAGCGAATGCCACGTATGGGGCGCTGGGCGTGGCGGGCGCGTTCCCCAAGGACCTCTCCTTTGCCCTCGCCTCGCCCCGCCAAGGCACCTTCCAAGTCGTTGCCTCTGGCTTCTCCCAGGTGTGTAGGGGGGGGGGGAGGGAGAGGGGGGGGGGGGACGGAGAGAAGGCGAGGGGGTGGGAGGGAGCAGGGGCATGGGGCATGGGGCATGGGGCATGGGGCAGGCGGGTGGGGGGGGGGGGAATGGGCAGGAAGTGGAAGGGAGGAAGAATGGGGGTGATTGTTTATGGGGAGGTGTATTGTTGAGGTTAAAGGGAAGGGAGGAAACCATCTATGTGTGTACCCAATACCGTAAGCCCACTGCGAGCGAGGGAAATGGAGGGTGGACTCAGTGTGGCCTTCCCTGCACGCCCGTGTCCCATCTTCCCATTCCTCTGTGCACTTCAGGTGACACCCAAGTCGGCGCCTCTCCATGCAGCTGTCTCCCTCTCACTACCTCTGGCAATCATAGCTGCTGCTCTTGCTCTTCTCCTCTGATGTATTGCTTTGGATGTCCCTTGATATTTTTTCCTCGTAGTGGTGTTGTGTTGCTTGGTGCAACGAGGTCTAGTAGGTGGGTAGCTGAACGCCAGCTACTGGGGTATTATTAGCCTCTCTGCTCGTGCTACCGTGTCGCCTAGGTGCTGCTTCAGAAATTCATTCACTGTGTAATGTACGGTATGACCTGTATAAGGACAGTCCAGTTCCATGATCCTTCTGGTCCTTACTGGAGAGATAAAAACAACAGCATGGGCATGTGCAATGCAGTAGCCGTAAATTGAATTGCTCCCGGCTTCGAAGCCTCACACTACGGCGCGCGATTTTGCTTCAGCTGGCGCAACGAATTGTCGTTCGTAGTGCAATGCTTTCTTGGGGCTGCATTTTTGCCCTGCCTTTCACCCGACCCTTCCATCCGTCGTCCTCACAGCATCGCACAGCGCGTTGCGGAGTCATAAGCAGTTGACAGCCTCGCGGATCGTAGGTTTAAAAACGGGCGGAGAGCATGGCGGCGGTTGCTTGGTTCATGCTGAGTGGCCGTGGCGCGGTGAGACGGCGAGATGCCGCACTCTGCCAGCACAGGAGCGGCTGCGAAGCGCTTATAAGCGGAAGAACGAATGAGTGCTGTCGAGCCCCGGCTCCGCTCACCCGCTTACCGTCCCCGCGCAAACAGCGTCGTGCATCCACCCAAGGCATCATTGTTTCCGTTTCCATTGAGATCAGGGGCGTTCCGAGTCGCTAACCCGTATGCACGACAGCAGCCCGCAAGATCGCGCTACGCGGAGGTGCTTTCGCGGGCGGAAGCAGGGTCCGTTGGGAGTGCGGGTTCGGACGGGAGGGGAAGCGAGCCACTGGTGTGCGAGCACTTGCTTTACCGTGGGTCGCGACGCAGGGTCTATCGCAAGCATTTCGTGGATGAGTCGCTTAGCGTCGCCAGACAGCATGATCGCACGCACGGTGAGGGGGAATCGCACCCGGGCGGCGCGAATCCGTTGTAGCGTGTCGTGGTTGGAGCGCCCGAGGAATGGCTGCTGGCCGGTAAGCAGCGAGTAGAGCAGCACGCCCAGACTCCACACCTCCAGCGCGCCCAGCGCCGCCTCGTCCGCCGCCAGCGCGGGGGCCGCCGGTGGGGCAAACCGGGAAACCGACGTCGGCGCGAAGAGAGCAGCGCCCGTGGGGATGGGAGGGTGAACGGCGGGGGCGCCCGTGTCGCTGCATGGCGGTGAGGGCAACGCGGGAAGCATTTCGGGGGCGAAGAAGCAGAGAGGGCGGCAGCACGGCTCGTTACACGATCCGAACAGCAGACTCGTCAATTTCACGCTGCCGTCTCGCCGCCCGCTCCGATTCCGACTCAAGCCGCATCCCCGCGCGCCCCCGGGCGTCCCCGTGCTGGTTGCGGCGGCCCTGGTGGCGACGATGGTGTTGACGAGGCTGCGGAAGATGAGGCGCGCGTCGCACTCGGGGATCGGCCCGGCGACGCAATCGGGAAGCATGGGACTCTGCGCCGTCCAATCCGCAGCCGAGGAGGATGCATTGCTGTAGCTGCTACAGCTGCTGCTGGTGCTGCTGCAGCTGCGGACAGAGCTCGAGCGCGAGTAGCACGAGGTGGAGGGCGCTGAGGAGTGGTGCGATGGGCACGGGGATCCGCGCGGAGAGGTTGCCGCGGATGGACCGGAGGGGTTTGCGGGGCGCCTCGGAGAAAATGCTGGTCGAAAGGGGTCTCGCGCTGCCATGGCTGACAGCTGCGTCGAGCTTGCTTCACACAAACAGCAGCTGCGTGGGGGGGGGGAGGATGAAGGAAACAGTGTGGCGTGCCTCGCCTTCTCCGACCACGGGATCTGGCTGACCAGAAATTATTTATGGTGGTGGATGCGACTTTTGGGGCCAAGAGGAAAGCGTGCCCCAGTGCATGAGAGCTCGCCGAGCAGGTCGCGGCGCGGGCCATGCTGGCGTAACGGATGGCTTGGCATGGCGTGGCGATGGCTGGCTGGTGACAGCACAATCAACTGAGGCCAAGTGTCGAGTTTATAGGCGAGACAAGAATTTGGGGGAAGAGCAGACATGTGTACGGTTTCGGAATTCGAATGTAACCGCAGGGCTCGATTGCCATGCCCGCCCCTCTATTCAAGTGTACACGCAGCGTGGTTTTTTTGCTGTAGTTTGAGGGATGGTTTTACTTGAAAATATATAAGAAAACCTGCCATTGCAAAAGAAATGAGATTGCTGAAACGCTAAGGGGCCCGGCATGCGAAAGACGACGGGCACATCCGACATTCCAAACCACCAGAGGACGTTGTCTTGCCCGCTGTCTTCAAAAATAACTGTATTTCTGCCACCACAACATGGATCTCTGGTCTGGCTGGACAGGGGTTCCCTGAATTCACCAGCTTGCTTGGTGCTTGCTCGCGTTTTGCGGTGACCGAGGGTCACCGCAGTTTCCGCAAGACGTAAGGACAAAGATTGGAGCATCAAATGAGATTTGCGTGTGTCGCATCGCAATTGGTGTGGAATTTCTCCGATATTAAGATTCCCGAACTTGTCTCAGTTGCTTGAATACACTTGCGCGGCATTCAGTGTATGTTTTTCCGAAACCATCTGTAAACTTGTTTTGCTGGTGTGCATAGGACCTGGCTAATATACAAGCCTGCACTCATGAGAAGCAAATTACTCTCGTTTTGTTTTTTACGAACAGAGGAAAACAGGTAGCGCCTTGTGTTGAATGAATTTAGTAACCTTTAATAAAACGACGTACAGCAGCACTGTTCTTCCGTGTTGTGCGCTTGCTCAGGGATGCTTTAACGGGGATTTGTCGATTTTTCCTTGCCCGCCATAGGCCTTGGCGCCTTGTCAGGCGGTTCACTTTGCTTGGAGGATTCGCGTAAGCTAACCAATAGAAGGTCGTTGCGAGTTCGTTGACCCTCACGAACCAGATCGCATAAACCACATCATCGAAGCGCGCCCGAAATGTTTCGCAAATTTCCCGTCCACCCCGCCAAACCTAAGCTGGTCCTGCTTCCGTTCCATACAGTATCATGAAGTCGTGTGCTTCGAATTCGCCCCTCCCAGACTCGTTGGTGGTTGTCCTTGTTCTGTGTCAATCATGAGCGGAGCCTTGGGATTCAGTTCTCCAAGTGAACGCTTTTGCATCATCGAGACCCCACACGGGCATTACGCGCAACGACTGCAACCTTCGGGATTAATGTAGACTGAACATTGAGGAATACGGATATGCTGCGGAATGAACTTATCAATTCAATCTGCTGAGCCATGGCGACCACCCTATTTGTCCAGCTCAGCCGCATAGACGCGCATACTTAGCTAGTGCTAGTAGCTAGAGTTCACCAGCACTTCTGTACCACCCCGTCTAGTCTCGTTTTCCTCGCCATCTCTAACATCCTCTGTTTCGGTTTCATTAGCGCCCCCTTTCTGTTTCGGTTCCAGTAGCGCCGTCCTGCCACTCGAACGGGTGCCTTGATGGCTGCTGGGCGCTTAGCGCTTCGACCCAACGCTCGACGCCGCGTACCGCGTCGGCCCAAAGTCCCGCGCAGCCGCCTTCGTAAAGAGTCGGAGAGCTTTGAGGAACGGTCGGATTGGGCGGAGAGCGAGGAGGAAGAGGAGCAAGAGGGCACAGGGGAGGAAAATGCAGTATGGGCGGAAGCAGAAGAGACGACGGGAGGTGGCGGTGGCGGAGAGAGTGATCGAGAGGACGGTGCCGACAGCGGCGACGAGGGCAGTGTGGCGTCGCAATCGACATACCTCATGCTCAACCCATTCGCCGTGCGCGAGGAGGTAAGGCGACTGGGCCGGCGGAGGGGCCAGCGGAGCACCTCAGGCACAGCGGAAGATAGACTTGCGCCCGTCATTTTTTTGGTTTTCAGAACCCTACTGCCCACGCCCACGCGACCACGTTCTCTCCCGTGCTTTTCCCCGGCCCGCAGGTACAGCCCGTTCTGGAGGCCGCCGTGGCGCTGGGGCTGGACTTGGCTGACGGGGCGGAGAGCGGCGGGGCGGGCGGAGAGGGCGGGGAGGTGGCGGCGGTGGAGTTCTACTCGGCGGTAGACCGCGTGAGGGACGCGGTGGGCGCAATGGAGGCGGAGATCGAGCGCAGCCGACAGCTGCTCACGTCAGCCATGGAGGTCCTTGCGGCCGCTTTCGACAAGCACATTGGAGCAGTCGAGTGCGTCTTGCCGCCTCACGTCCCCTCGTTCCCCGCTCATTCGCCAGACATAACAGCACCCTTCTCGCACACAATCCCTCTGCTCTGCAACACGCACTTGCCCCTCGCTCACCTTTTCAAAACTCCCATTTCCCATCTCCCCTCTCCCCGCCAACACCCCAGTGCACTGGAATGCTTCCCCCCCACGGCCGCCACCTCCCCCTCCGCGCGTGGCGGACTGCCGCCCCTCCCCGAGCTACGCTGTCCCCCCTCACCCTCCTCCGCCTACGCGCTCTCCGGCTGCGAGGGCTCGGCGCGCTGGGGGGAGCGTGCGGCGGGGGGCGAGATGGTGGCGCGGCTGCAGGCGATGGCGAAGCGGCTGTTCGAGAACGGCGAGCGGCACACGCTGTTCCACACGTACAAGTGAGCGCCCTCTCCTCTCCCCTCGCTGTTCCACACGTACAAGTGAGCGCCCTCTCCTCTCCCCTCGCTGTTCCACACGTACAAGTGAGCGCCCTCTCCTCTCCCCTCGCTGTTCCACACGTACAAGTGAGCCCCCTCTCCTCTCCCCTCGCTGTTCCACACGTACAAGTGAGCCCCCTCTCCTCTCCCCTCGCTGTTCCACACGTACAAGTGAGCCCCCTCTCCTCTCCCCTCGCTGTTCCACACGTACAAGTGAGCGCCCTCTCCTCTCCCCTCGCTGTTCCACACGTACAAGTGAGCCCCCTCTCCTCTCCCCTCGCTGTTCCACACGTACAAGTGAGCCCCCTCTCCTCTCCCCTCGCTGTTCCACACGTACAAGTTAGCCCCCTCTCCTCTCCCCTCGCTGTTCCACACGTACAAGTGAGCGCCCTCTCCTCTCCCCTCGCTGTTCCACACGTACAAGTGAGCCCCCTCTCCTCTCCCCTCGCTGTTCCACGCGTACAAGTGAGCGCCCTCTCCTCTCCCCTCGCTGTTCCACACGTACAAGTGAGCGCCCTCTCCTCTCCCCTCGCTGTTCCACACGTACAAGTGAGCGCCCTCTCCTCTCCCCTCGCTGTTCCACACGTACAAGTGAGCCCCCTCTCCTCTCCCCTCGCTGTTCCACACGTACAAGTGAGCCCCCTCTCCTCTCCCCTCGCTGTTCCACACGTACAAGTGAGCCCCCTCTCCTCTCCCCTCGCTGTTCCACACGTACAAGTGAGCGCCCTCTCCTCTCCCCTCGCTGTTCCACACGTACAAGTGAGCCCCCTCTCCTCTCCCCTCGCTGTTCCACACGTACAAGTTAGCCCCCTCTCCTCTCCCCTCGCTGTTCCACACGTACAAGTGAGCGCCCTCTCCTCTCCCCTCGCTGTTCCACACGTACAAGTGAGCGCCCTCTCCTCTCCCCTCGCTGTTCCACACGTACAAGTGAGCGCCCTCTCCTCTCCCCTCGCTGTTCCACACGTACAAGTGAGCGCCCTCTCCTCTCCCCTCGCTGTTCCACACGTACAAGTGAGCGCCCTCTCCTCTCCCCTCGCTGTTCCACACGTACAAGTGAGCGCCCTCTCCTCTCCCCTCGCTGTTCCACACGTACAAGTGAGCGCCCTCTCCTCTCCCCTCGCTGTTCCACACGTACAAGTGAGCGCCCTCTCCTCTCCCCTCGCTGTTCCACACGTACAAGTGAGCGCCCTCTCCTCTCCCCTCGCTGTTCCACACGTACAAGTGAGCCCCCTCTCCTCTCCCCTCGCTGTTCCACACGTACAAGTGAGCCCCCTCTCCTCTCCCCTCGCTGTTCCACACGTACAAGTTAGCCCCCTCTCCTCTCCCCTCGCTGTTCCACACGTACAAGTGAGCGCCCTCTCCTCTCCCCTCGCTGTTCCACACGTACAAGTGAGCCCCCTCTCCTATCCCCTCGCTGTTCCACGCGTACAAGTGAGCGCCCTCTCCTCTCCCCTCGCTGTTCCACACGTACAAGTGAGCGCCCTCTCCTCTCCCCTCGCTGTTCCACACGTACAAGTGAGCGCCCTCTCCTCTCCCCTCGCTGTTCCACACGTACAAGTGAGCCCCCTCTCCTCTCCCCTCGCTGTTCCACACGTACAAGTGAGCCCCCTCTCCTCTCCCCTCGCTGTTCCACACGTACAAGTGAGCCCCCTCTCCTCTCCCCTCGCTGTTCCACACGTACAAGTGAGCGCCCTCTCCTCTCCCCTCGCTGTTCCACACGTACAAGTGAGCCCCCTCTCCTCTCCCCTCGCTGTTCCACACGTACAAGTGAGCCCCCTCTCCTCTCCCCTCGCTGTTCCACACGTACAAGTTAGCCCCCTCTCCTCTCCCCTCGCTGTTCCACACGTACAAGTGAGCGCCCTCTCCTCTCCCCTC